GAAAATGTTATTTTTACTAGAAATATCATAATGAAAATGTCTCAAGTTAAAAAAAGGAAATTGCTGTTTTAAATAGACCTTTAATAGATCGCATCGGCTTAACGTTGTACATGGCTACTGTATGACGGTACCGCCGCTTTATCATCCGAGATCTATGTGTAATCCTCTAAAGTTTAAGTATGTTTTTTTGTACTGCTGAGACTTTTTGACACAATATGGAACATAATATGCTTTTATTGGCGCTAATCATGCAGCTTACAGTAATTCTCCATATTTTCCCTCCATTATTTGCTGTTACTCGTTGGAAATTTTTGCAAAGCGCTCTAATTTCCTTAGTTAACATCTGGGTCTATTTGACCTCGCCTCTGCCTCAAGACTCAGTGTCCGATGAATATTATGGTGTAGTTGTTTGTTAAGTAGTGTCCCAGTTCAGTTAACGACTTAGCAGCTTGCTAAAATAATTCTGGTGGAGGTCCCACATATTAACCAGAAGGAAGGATTTAAGCGATGATTCGAGCACTGCTAATTTCGGCTTCAGGAATTCATAATTGAAATTGACAGCAACAGAACCACAAAAAAGTCTATTGTTCTAATCCTGTTTGGCCATAATCCAGCACCATTACATCCACCTCGCATGGGTGAGAATCAGTAACCACGCCTTTACTCAGTGGGAATTCTCCCAGTGAAGTTCATTTCAATTTCTTATCTCGTGCCAAGTTCGAACAAAATCGACAGCTACTTAGAATCTTGGCTCCAATGAGAAGACCTGCGTCTCACCTTGTCATTTCTTACCAGCGTTTTCCGTGTTTTCAGCCAAAGCCGAGGAATTCCAAGAGCCAAAAAATTCAAGACCTCCAATTTGTTTTAACCGTTGACTTTTCTTTCTTTTGAGCTTAGAGCTTTTGGATAAATTTCTCTTTTCTTCCTTCAATTGCTAAAGCTTATTTGACGTATTCAAAAACTGCTTAAACAAGATCTACAGAAATTAGCTTCAGTTCATAAGGCAATTATTATATTGTTCTTCTAGGGAAATCTTTCTTGTCTGGTAAAGAATGTTTCCCTGAAAAGGACGTTAAGATCTCTCAGTGTGTTGAAAATGGGTCAAGAGAAGTCTGGAAGATCTAGCAGAAGATTAGCAAAAGTAAACATTCTGAAAATTGTTGAAGAGATCTCAACCCGTTATTGAGTTGAATTGTTGCTAATAAAGGATGTATTCTCATTGATAGCTATTAGTTTAATCTCTTTAATCTGTTGCGTCTAGATTGTATGATCGTTCTTGTCCGCCATAATATTTTAGTTTGTAATAGGGAAGAATATTGCACGCCCCCACATGAAATGCTTAATAATTCGGTCGTTTGCGATTCAAATGAGGTAGTGAAACACAAGTTCTTTTAAAAATCTGAGATTTAGTACGCTCCAGCGATAAATGCAAAATCAATACCTTGAAAAAATTAGTTGCAAGGGCGAAAAGGCCTAACTAGTATGTGTATAATATGGGTATTCCCTTACCATGAAGTTACAGTAAGGATAAGGTGTTGTTGTTGATTCTTTCTGTTGTACAGTACAAACGAAACAGTTTCAAGAGTCGCGCGCACAAGGTTATTTTTTTTTTTGTTAAAATGGCTTCAAGAAATCTATCATTTGTGTTAAAGTTTTAAATAGGGAATCGCTGGAATTTTCTCGCAAAGAATTCTCTTGCCTGTAATAGATACATTGGAGTCAGAAAGTTTGGCGCCTAAAGTCTGGCGATGAAGCGAATTTTCTTTTTTTTCTTAAACTCTTCAAATGACCCTCCAAGAAGGAAAAGTATCTCCTGCTGGGAAATGAAAGGATATGCAAGAGGATTACATTAACATGAAACTAATCCGGCCGTTGTATAAAGTGTCAGGGCTTAAAATGACTTGTAAAGAAGACAAAATTTCGAGTAAAAAGAAGCTCTGACGTGTAGTTTCTAAGGGCACAAGAGTGAAAACAGAGATGACTAACGATAGTTTACGCGTACTATAACAGGTTGATCTATTACGCATCGGAAATGTCCCATATGTAGAGTTATCGATACCCGGCCACTGCTGATAGCTAGAGTGATGAGCGGAAATCTCGATAATACACATTCTCGTTGACGAGCTAAGTGTCTGGAATAAGCCAAAATAGCGTTGCAAAAAAAAAAAAAAAACACAGCGGAAAGACCGAAGGGGTCGAGTTCCGTTTAATCTTCAGTTAAAATAAGTGATATTACAATGATGTCTGAGGAACGGAGCCGAGGGTCGTGATAATCTAAACGAGGTTAGAAAGAGTCAAGAGAAAGATGTGTGATAAAAACGAGTGGATGTGGTTATGTTTATATAGCTCAATGCGTTTCTCCAATAAAAAAAAAACTTAACGCATTTTGTGTAAAGGAGTTTGCCAATAGAAGGTCACCCAGTTGCCCTTTAAAAGCCTACTGTGCTTTGCAATTCTTAACTCCGTTTTTTGTCTCTCCCCCTCTCCGCCCCATTTTGCTTTTAATCAGGTCGTCGGTAGCCCAATATGAGGTACTTGAAAAGCTTTTTCAAACATATACATTTTCCCAGATAATCTGGTGCCGAGAAATAAATACGAGGTAAGAGGATTTCTGGAGCCGTTGAAACTAGAGCAGCTTTGTAAATTTTCGCACTCAATAGCGAAAGGATAACTGGATCGCTTTCAAAAGGCATTTTTAGAGATAAGATTAAGAAATCTGTCAAGAGGTCCGAAGTTTAAAATTTCTCTGTAGATATGTGCTCACGCCCTGACTCTTATCGCAACTTGAGGCAGCTATGAAAATGCCTAAGCCCCTCGATCAAAGCGACCCTCGGTTTGTTCTGTTTCACTGCAACCTCCTTTATTCTTGTTGTATTCACACGTAGATATCATGAAGCCCTTTTTCTTAACACTGGTAAATAAGTAGAATAATTACGCTAAGTTTTAAGTGTAATAAACGCCATACAGGTTTAATTGAACAAATCAATTATTGACATCGCCTACGGTCGGAACGTTAAGACTTGTGACGTACTTTGGTTGGAAAGATTTCCTTTTGTACATTGTGGTTTCTTGGACGCAACCTTGGACGTTGCGTACGAACTGGAACAAACAAACTTCAAAGAGAACAAATTTGGCAAAGGGAAATTCTTTGAAGTGTTTTACACAGGCTTGAAATATTTCGGCTAATTGTAGTGGACCAAGTGCTTGGAAGGAAGCATAGATTGTCACCTTATTAGAATACCGTCAGAAAAGACTTAAGGCGACTGGACCTGATAGGAAAAGCTTTCCGATTTTCGAAGTGTCATTTCTGGTCACTGCACTGTTAGAAATGTAAACTGTCATATTAACTCGGCTTACTGAACAACCTCCGATGGAAAATTGACGGGCAAGTTTTTTTGCTTACGGAATGTGGCCACGACACGTGGATACTGAAAATGATATCAAAATGATATCAATTTCTGAGTAGATAACAGAATATATTAGGTTTGTCATTCTTGTTTACATAGATTAATGAGTTGTAACAGCCGTTATGTGGGATTCACTAACTTGTTTGGTTCACATTGTATATTAGCCAATAACTTAAGACATTTTTTATTATCTTGACTAATTTGTTCTAACCATTATCTTACGGTCTATAATCCACCAACTCATATTTCAGTTTATTGACAAGTTAAATGCATTTTGGCGCTTTTAAGTTGTTTTGTTACAAATGCTAATAGATTTAAATCAGTCAAAAAATAAAAATACAAACTTGGTGCAAAAGTGCCGCGGGAGTAAATGACTCTTTTTATGATGTGCAATATGGGGTAGACGCAATGAAATTGTCATTTTAAAATAGCTAACTTGCTAAGGAAAAAACGTCTCCTGGTATCGCTTGGTGATCTAATCTTCTAAACATCCGCTGCGCTGTTATGTTGTTAACTAAAATAAGTCGGCCGCTTTTTACGAACTTTTATTGACATATTGTTCTTTTAACCCAATGACACACCAGACTTAATCGTTACTTTATTCACCCGAACCATTTTATCTTGCCGCATGTATCTCTGATGAGACAGCAAAATAGTTTCTTGGGGATCACATTGTAAAAACTTCTCTGCCACGCAGTTGCGAACAAATGACTTGCTCTGGAGACTTGAGACTTGCGTCTTCGCCGGTGTCATAAAAACCACTCGACGCTGCAGAGAGTAACAATTCGACATTTAAAACTTAATTAAGGCGTGAAAAGCTTAGATTGACACCTAAAAAGGTCAAGCTAGCAGCCGACGATAAGCATCTTAATTGCATTTACAGTTAATTGTTCTTAGCAAGTAGCCTTCTTAATGGCCAAGACTTGTGTCTCCGTCAAAACATATCGGACTCGAGTTTTGTTGTGTTTTTGGGATCGCCTTAGATAGACCAATGACTACTTTTCCTTCCTATGCTGAGAAGGAGTTGGTTACACTTGTCCTACATTTCCGGTAACACTTCCTAATTGTTCTCTGCGGCCAGCCCTCTCGTTCCTATTCCCACCTAAGGCGCGCAAATTTGTCGGACAGGGTGTTAACCGTTTCGGTGACGCAAGATAAAAGGTGCTCGGCACGCCAGTCTATTCATTTCAGTTCAGCATGGCTTTGGGGTCGCATGTCTTAAGAGCTTTCGTACTCCTAACGATTAAGTAAGTATACAAATCAGTTTACGTACAGGTTTTAAGGTTCATAGAACACCAGCATCTCAATTTCTCATTGAATGAGTACCGATTATAATTACAATATTTGAATCGGACGGCGGCGTTTTCCTTAAGTGGCATCAATTTTTCACTTTGTTAAGTAGTAAATCGAGGGTGCTGAGCATTAACAGTTTGTCCAATCTGTTATTGACGCATAGCTTCTCATTTCAGTTCATTGTTACCGAACGAATTTTGTACTCATGCAAGAGATCTTGATCAGGTAAGCTAAATCGAAAGCAACTTTATTTGACTGGCTTAAATTTTCATTAATTTGCATTAGGGTACTACCCACTGACATATATTTTCTTCGTTTCTCTTCCAGGAGCCGCACGAAAGACGGGTTTTCGACGAAATTTATACCAATGGAAGGAAAAAAACCGAAACAACTAGCCTGCCATTTCGCAGGTTCGTTCAGCTGTATTCGAGAAATAGCGGCCGCCACGTTAGAATCAATGCTGACAGAAGTGTCGACGCTAAAGGAGAAAATATGGATAAATTCGGTAAAACTGATGGCTTTTAAATTTATATCGTCAACTCCTGTTTACTTTGCTGTTGTATATACTTTTCTTTTTGTTTTAATTTTTTGGTTCCTTTAAAAGTGTAATAACCTGAATTACCGTTTCACAAAGCTGCCACTTTTGTGAGGCTGCAATTTGCGCGTTTTTCAACCTAATGAACAGTAGCCACGCGGTGCCGAAAAATATCATGGATACTCGGCAGAGATTTATTCGATTGTTTTATTTCTTGAGGAAAATTTGGTATGACCTTTCCTGTAACAATTTTCTCCAGAATTTCGCTTTTCGCCTTATTTCTTCAACTGAACTTAATAGGTCATTTCAATTTTTTGCCGTCTTCGTGAACGCATCACATAGGTATTTAAATGGTTTACGTTTTGTTCTCTTTAACCTTTAACCACAGGAAATTATTTATTCTTGTCCTTCTTGTTTTGAGGATTCCTTTGCGTGAGTAACTCTTCGAAAGTTTGAAAAAGTCAAACGTTGTTCAATGGTTTCGGAAAACGACGAAATTTTTGACATTTCTTTTTTCAAGAAACTCATTTAGGTCGTTGATTCTATTTATAGTAAAAAACACGAATCAGCTGGAATTGACTATTTTAAACCTTTTTGAACAAAATGTGATCTGTGTCTGTAATCTAACCTGTGCAGGATAAATGTGTATGTGTTCTCGGTTTCATCGATGAGCTGCGGTATTAATTATCACTTTTTTACATTCGAGGATTTATAAACCGTTGTTTGACCAGAAATTACATGATTGTCAAACGCGATCAGTGTTCTGTTTACACAGTTGTGAAAGAAGCGAAATTCCTGACAATTTTTCAATGACCACGCCAAATGGCACAAAAATTACTTCTCGTGACTAAAAGAAGTTGTACACTGTCTCCGTAAAACGCAATTAAGCACTGGCTGCGAGAATTGTAGTGGGTGTTGAGCAAACTTATGCCTCACCGTGGTGGAGCTATTGTCACTTTCTAAAACCTTTATACTGAGTTTACTAATCCTCTTTGCGCTAATTGAAAGAATGAAAGAGATTTTGCCCGGCACGAACGCTTGTGATTTCCCCCGTACGATGAAGTATAATTAGTCTTGTCATGCTGGCGAAAACAGCTCGCGGGGAGGAGATTATAGTGAAATGCAAAAGTGAACTCCACGCTTTGTACTGTACTGCTAAAGATTTTACACCGGCAACATGTTATATGTATTAACTGTAACATTCTATTTAGAACTTTTCATTTACAAAGTAAACACCAAATGGGAGTAAATGGAACGCGCATATACGTAACTCCGACATTTTTCATTAACATTATGGTACGTGGGGGCAACCTAAACCGCAGTTTGTCGCAGAAACGCCTTGCTTGAGTCAATTTGGTGTTCATCAGATTAAAATTTTGGGAAGATAGACATGTGACATTTTAGGGTAAACCTTAACAAGCTCATTTGCACGCTCTTTTTCCCAGCGGTGGCGCATATATGAATAAGCTTGAACCTTAGAATACTTCCTTTTGTTATTTTCAGCCAAGCTTGTTGTTGAATCTATAAGTTTTGGACGCGTTCGAATACGCGGAACAGCGACTGATTATTTCCTCTGTGTGGATAAGAAAGGACGTCTTCGAGCAAGGGTAAGTCACTTATTCGAATTTTTTTTTCGTCTCATTTACTGTCTGGGATTGACATAGCTACTAGATGTGTTGAAAAAACGCTATAGGCGCTGACACATCGAAGGCAATAGGTAATTCTTTAGAGACTAAGCCCCTACTTTTAAGAATTCGGGCCGGGTACATTTATTCGCGAGGGATAAGCCGTTTAATCTTAATGCTAAAGCGGCTTTCCCTTCAAAAATCACGAAGATCATACTCATACTTCCATTGACGAGCAAAAAAGAAATCAAGGATTGAAAAACGTCGATAAACAAAAGTATGAATTTTGTTTAGTGAAATTTAGACTGAGTACAACCTGCATGCTTGTTCGAATTTGCAGTGAATTTTGAGAATGACCTCCTTAAGAAACGCTTGGTGAGAATGGATGTGCGAGGCGAAATACAACCGTTTAGTGACATTAACGCTTTACAAATATTTCCACACCCACGACATGCCTGTTCGAATTTGCCCGCCGTAAATTTTGAGAGCGACCTTTTCACTGGGAAGTGCCGGCTTCGCGAGAAGGGATGTGCGATGCGAAATACACTGAATCGTTTAGTGACATTAACACTTTAAATGTTTCAGTTCTACTGAACTAAATGCCTATTCGAATTTGCCGCAAATTTTGAGAATGATTTTCATTAAAAACGCTTGAGAGCTATGCGCTGCGTACACATGTATATGGCCGTTTCGTTATCGAACTGATTTGCATTAATTACTTCCTCTTAATCATTTAAGGTTTTTGAAAGAATATTTACATTATGAAAAATCAGATTTAAAAAAGAAAAAACAAAAACAAACAATTGTACAGCTACGGGCTATTTTCCCCATTACTCTTCGTTTTGACATTGCGTTGGAGCGTAGTGATAGAACTTTGAAACACTTAGTCACCACCAATCAACTGTGTTAAGTGACTTCTGTCAGTAAATCGATTTTATAATGAAGTTAAAATTATCAGCTTCTCTCAATCTACCGCAAAATGAATGACAGTATCATGAGCATCAGACGAGAATTCAAATTCGACTAACAGACCCTTTAGAAAACAAAACGTGAACATGCCAACATGCTCGGAAACACTAACCAAAATGACAGGTTACAATAATACATACTCTCGATTCGCAGTATTGAGGTTAAGGACTGGAACAAACAAAACGAAAAAAAAAAGGTATTTGTTTGATGCTGTAAGCATCTTTTCTATTAAGCCTTTAGTCAACTCCATTTTAACGCCTGTATAAGACAAACATACAGTCTAAGTAGAAGCAAAATGGTTTCAGGGTTAAGCAGATTTAGTCGACCGTAACATCAATGTTCTAACTTTTAGACACAATTTTTTAATGGAAGTTGGCCCTCGTGCTACAAGATGGGTAGACAATTTTGAATTTTCTTTACATTGAAATTCCTGATAACAAGACTTCTATAACGTCTAAATCCCACCTGATCCCAGCTGCGAACGTTTTATTTAAGGCAAGACATGTTTGTCCTGCTCGGAAAAAGCCCACACGTATCGAAATAAGGAAACACAACACGACGCAGCAGTAGTCAGCTTGAAAAGTTTCTCATTTGCAAACTGCGAAACAACGTGAGGTTATGAAACCGCAACAAAAAAGAAAAGAACTTCATTGAAATAACCCTTAAGTTCTAACACAATGGACTAAAGTTACCGCCCGGAAAGTTCAAAACAAAACCGATGCACCGCGAAGACTGTAGATGTACAAGTTAATCTTTGTGTTGTTTCTCGCAGTGGCGGTTTTTTCAGTCTTTTTCTTTTTATTTATGAGCGTGGGAGTCTATTTGATTGGTGTTTTGGTTACCCGAGGAAATAACACAATTTAGAAATCATCTGTCACCTTCAACGAGCAACTCTTGAACGTTCTGGCAGCTGAGGAATTTTGGGTGTTTCCAGTTACAAAGGAAGCTAACCTGTCATGCGGAGGCGAAGCATTAATATATTTGGTTAAATGAAGAAAGAAAATAACGGCACATTTCGAGTTGGGCACCCGCAAGTAGACGTATGTGCCGCAATTTTATGACGTCTTCAGTGGTTAACTAAAATGGTACTACAGTCGACTTCCGATAACTCGAATCCTTGCTAACTCGAACCAAAATCGATTTCTCCTCAATAACTCGAACCTCCCGCTAACTCGAAGTAATTTTTGTTTCCCCTCAGATCACTTTTATATAAATTTACCCTTGATAATTCGAACCATGTTTTGAGCCCTTATAAAGTCGGGGGAAAAAAACCAGTCTACTGGCGTCCGAAGCACTGATTGAATTTTGAATTTTCCATTGACGTGTACATCTTGTAGGTATATAGCTTACTAGTGGAGGTTAATGTTGTTTGTCACAACTGATCTAACGTGAGACAGCTTTGCTTACAGTTAAACGCATCTAGGCTGTTTTGTTACGTTACGTTCTAATTTATAGTCTAGAAGCATCGTTCCATTTGTACTTGATATTTCTACAGTTAAATGTAATTAAAATGTTCACTGTACAGTAAAAACTGGTTTTTCCCTTACTTCCGGCTATTTGCTTCGAGCTCCCGATAACTCGAACTTTTTTCGATTTGCCTTGAAGTTTCGAGTTATCGGGAGTCGACTGTACTACTAAGCAATACTCTCTCGCTCGCTCTCTCTCTCTCTCTCTTTCTCTATAAAAATTGACAATTCAAGCCACTATATCAGTGATGAACGCGCTGCTACATATTATGCATAAGGAATCTTGACTTCTTTATAGGCACAGCTAAGCACGGGACTGTAAAGCTGACATTGACAAGGTAGTGCGTTTGCGTTTCTCTCCAAACTTGAATGAGATGAGAGGCACCCTAACCAGGGATGGTTTTCACTTGTTTCCAACTTAAGTCAAGTCGTCTTTAAAGGAGTTAAAATGCAGAGCGTCGATTAAAAAAAAAAATAACGGACAGTGATTTCACAAACTCGGTTGTCGATGAAGCATATTTTATTGTATCGTAGTATCGCGATTATCTTATTAAAATATCGATATTCCTATAGTGAGAAGAAATATCGCAGTTCACCGGCGGTCATGTATTGGTGTATCGTTGCAGCCCTAACATTTGCATAGTGCGCTTGAAACAACCAGCGGTTGAGTTAACCCAAAGAAAAATAGTCATATCTTTACGCTGACGTTGAGCAGAACCCAAAAAGAGGCTTATTCGCCAGTTTTCCGTAAAACTCAACCGCGTACTACCAAGATCTTCAAACTGTCAGTATCATCGATACTACAACTGAACACCAGGTATTAAGGATATAGAACGTAAATCCGAGACTGCTCTCTTTAATCAAAACCGAGACAAAGACTTCACGTTAAACTGGTTTAATGAGAAAGTTCGAGCCCGAGGCGTAAGTGAAACTCGAAGTTTCGAAACGTGCTTGCTTGGATTAGCTGAGATATAAATTCGACGGATGTGGTTTGCACTGAGTTACTGACACAAGTCGCTGCTGACAGAGCCTTCGAGAAGATCTAAATCTTAGCGAGGCCAAGATTCTGGTACTGTACTCTAAAAAGAACTCCAAAGGCGGTTAAAATTTCCTTAGGCTCGCCTTTTTATTGGACATTCTCCATACCACTTGTACTTGAAAGGGAGTATTGATCAGTCAGTTGTGTTGAATTGCACAGTATGGGTCTTAGCTTGGGTAGCTGACGGTTTTGGGATCATTAGACGTTTCTGGGAAACTGCCCACCTACCCCTCTCCTTAGCCAACATTAACACTTACCTCTCACTTAGGGAAAAAATGTTGGTCGGGGGAGGGGGGGGTGGGGTGTAGGGGTAGGTGGGCAGTTTCCCAGAAACGTATAATGATTGATAGAGAAGGAGGTGCGGTTAACTTTTTTCCCAAAACAGTCGTCCCATGGTGCTGTTCGGCAGAACACTGACCTAGTCTCCGAAGCGCAACGTCAGAATGGCCAATGATTAGGCCATTTTCTAGACTACAAGTAGTCCCCCATTTTTTCTCAGGGATAGTAGAGCGAGCGAAAGGCGAGCGAGCGTGAAAATCACCCCACGCGAGAAAAGGCGACCCAGCTGTCACTGTTGGGATTATTTTACAATAAGAGGCCTTTGATAGGGCTACAGTGGTATAATATTTTAGTAGCTAGTCCTTACTAATCCTGTCTCTAGAAATAGAAACAGCGAGATACAAGTGCATTAGTAGATCCGGTTTTAGATATACCAAGTGGGAGGGGAAGGGGGCGGGGGTTATTCCGGAGCTAAAGCGACGGAGATGATCGAAAGGAGACAAACCCCAAAACCCAGAAAATTGCCTTGGGGTTTGGCGAAGTTTTTTTCAGATTTTTTTCCCTCTGGGAATGACTCATCACCTCCCGAGAAAAGTCAAATGAGCGAGCCTATTGCATGCAGTGGGTAGGACACGCAATGCCTTCTGGGTGGTTCATCCGGCATGTACTCTTTTTTTCGACGGAGAAAGCCCGTTTTATAATTGTGCTGTGCCATAGGCAGCCCAATAAATAGTATTTTTCTTCTAACGGAGTCAAAACGTTTTTCTAACAGGCGCGAAGTAAGGACAACTGCGTGTACACAGAACACTTGGCTCACAACGCTTACACGGAATTTAGTTCTGTCAAATACAACAGCAGTCTCGTCGCTTTCAACAGAAGGGGAAAACCTAGAAGAGCAGATAGGCAGGGAATAAAAGCAGTACAGTTTATAGAGCGGGCAACAAACATAAGGCTTTACAGAGGACGAAAGTACAAGAACAACCGTAAGACAATAGAGTTATACCGCAGGAAACAACCTTATGAGAAGATTTCCGTTTCGATGAGGAGATGGAAAGAGTTCAAACGGTGGCGTAAATTGAGTAAGAGAACAGAAAAACTTGAAGAAAATTCTTTGACTGCTACAACTTTACCCAGGATTACAACCACGCTGCAGGAACATAGAAACACAACAGCGGCGTCTGTTAAAGTTTTATAAATACCGTTTTGCGCGTCTAACTTACCATCTTCTATTGCTTATTTATGTTTGGGGTGAAAACTCCCCGCCTGCTTCAGCCGTTGGAACTTCGAATTTCCTCCTCCGCCGCTTCCTTGCCACTAGGACAAATTGTCCTCATAAGCCCAAGTATGTGGCTCTACAAACTCATGTTCGCATAAATATGAGATGCAGGCATCCCACTAAGGGCGACAGCCCGCGGGGCTTAATCACACTTGCCTAAGGTGGGACCCGCGGGTCGCGAATAATGGAGCGCCGGTCGCATGTTTCCCGACTTCTCACTGGCGCAGAGTCACGTGATATCATCAATGACAATCGAGTGTGGGCTAAGTGACAGTTATAATTGGTTTGAACATAGACGTTAAGTTATATTGAGGTTAAATATAGTCGAAATTTGAAAAAGTTAATTGATTGATACTATTTTAGCAAAATGATTTGGCTAGGACAAGATCAAGAAGAATATTCTGTTCTAATGAAAATTTTACATAGTTATAAATAATATTGCTTTTCAACGAAAGCATTTAGTAGGCATATTTTAATGCCTCTGTAATTAATGAGAAAAAATGTTTTAAATAGAATTTTATTTTTCATTACAATTTTTGTTTAAATATGTAATCTAAGATAGAAGTATTAGTTCTTTAGTTTGTAGCATTACACAAAAAATGTTGAAAGAACTGGTTATAACTGAGATGGACACTTTCTATTTGAGCTTAATCTAAGATAGAAGTATTAACTCATTAGTTTGAAACGTTATACAAAAGATGTTGGAAGCAGTAGTTATAACTGAGATGGACCGTTCCTATTTGAGAAACGTGCGCTCACATGGCCCAAAAGGTTTTTCGTTTTTCTTTTTTTTCATCTTAAACTGGGCCACGAATCCGCTTGTTGTTGGCTCACGCTTAAAAAAAAAAAGACTTCCCATACCAGTGGAATTTAGAGCAAAGAGATGAGATTAGCCATACAGTCAACTCCCTCTTAACCGAAACCTCAGTCGCTGAAACGGTCATCTAGATTCTTTACTCCTCTTAGTTGACTTTCAACATGACGGGCATCTCTCAAAGACCGATGCAAGTGCTGGCTCCAAAGGTTTCCATCTAAGACAAGGTTGTCACTAAGATTTCAAGTTGCCGGTCAAATACAACAAGTAGGCGGGGAATCAAACAGCTAGGGATTTCTTTGGTTCTATTTTTCTTCTAATTTATAATGAAAGTAGCCGGGGACAACATTCGTAGTAGTCAGAGGAAACCCCCGGCCCCCGGCTCTTAATCACAGCTCAGTTAGAGAAAGTTAACTGTATGTCTTAATCTTGAAACTTGGTTTTGCTGAAGAATCTAGTATGAAGTGCGTTTATATTTATTTATTTATTTGCCAAATTTGAACATGACCTTCATACGAAATATATTTGTTAAAATTACTCAGACAATAGGCTGGGTCACTAAGCTGTAATCCTGAACAAGAATAGCTAAGAATCTTTGGAACAATCCTTAAAAACACTCTTCTTTTCTGAGATTGTTTCCGCTCTATAGAGGTTATTTTTTTCGTATAAACTTCTTTTCACCCTCTCCCACCCCACCCCTCCTCTCCCTCCTCAGAACATGGACGCTTATAGACTGCCAGCAGTATTTTATTTTTCTTCCAAAGTTACTCCGCGCGTAACCTAAGCACACCGGAGCAGCGAGCCGCGATAAACGAGGGTTAGGGGTTAGAATAAGCAAACAATTGTAGCGTCGTTGTTTGCAATAGTCCGTGTAAAAAGCCGTCATTTGGTTTCCCCCACGAAATGACGTCCGTGAAACGATTGCAGAAATTCCATACTTATGACGTGTCACTGCCCAGATCTGGGTAGTGCTTCTGACTGATTAAAGCAAATTTCCTTCGCGCCGTGACCAATCAGAAGCACTTCTCAGATCTGGGTGATGACACGTCATCAGTATGGAACTTCTGCGCTCGTTTCTCAGACGTCATTTCGTGTGGAAACTAGTGGTGTTGTCGAGATATGTCGGCTGTTTTCTTAGGATAAACTAAAAGCAAGGGGCACACCAACCAATGGCTTGGCCAGGACCTCACGCACGCGCACAGCCGTATCACCCGGGGCAGCCATGACAGAAAGTTTCCCCCTTTTTGGGGCTCATCAGCATGGCATAGCCGTCGGATCTCTGTACGGACAAAGCCGTTTTTAGAGTCCCTTTACTGCCGAGGCGAGTGCAAAGAACTCTTAATTAGGCTATGTTTGCAATCGCGCTGGCTGGAATGAGAACTGGAGGGATATAAGAGAAAAGGCGGACTGCAAAGATCCAAAGAAAAGCTACTTTATCCATGAAAAATGGTCGGGTGGAGGAGGGGTTTAGAATGATTTGCCGGCTTTTGACTGAATAAACATGTGTGGGTGTCCCAAATGATTGTAGCCCCAAGCATAAGCACTGGCCTCCAGGTTAGAACTGATGCTTGATTTCTATCGTAATCAGGAGTAGAGTTATCCCTTTCTCTTTTGCCCCGGGGATGGGGTGGGGGGGGGGGGGGG